CATTTATATGTTGTGAATTAAGAAGGATTGTAATCCAGAAACACATAATTTGAGGGAAAATATAATCCTCTAGCCTCTTAAATTATGACCAAATTAATATCTGTGTGTACAAAGTAAATCACTAAATGATTAGAGTTTATCCATTAAAAAGTAAAAAGTTTTAAATGTTTTAAGTATGTCAACATCTATGTCTTGAATAGATAATAACATAAGTCTCAGGGGGGAAAAACAGGTTTTAGTAGAAAGAATGAGAAGGTCTTGAAAAAATATTGAAGAAATACTTGACATTCCTTAATGACTTCAACTTCAAGATATTTTAGAAACTTTCATACAAGTAAAGAAATGACAAAACATACAATGATTCTAAACATAAATAGAGAAGGGCCTGAAACAATGTAAGAAGCAAATTAAAAGAGGAAGATCTGTGAAAAAACTTTCTTGTTGTAATGATCCAGCAAAACTATGATTTCTCAGCATCAGTGACTGCCTCAATGGCCCACATAGATTGAGCCTATAAATAGTTCCTCACAAATTATGCTAGAGTGTAGGGGGAGGACATCTGACACATCCCCTCTCAATAATTATTAGGCTGTTCATGAATCTTGAATATGGTGGACATTGTCTTCAGCTGTGTACTTACTAATAAGTCCCACATACTCTGTAGCTTTAAGCTTATGATATTGGTGATCTGGTTAAATAAATGGACCAGAAAACAGGAAGTCGTAATGTGGGAAAGATTGCAGGGAGGAGGGAGTATAACACAGTAATATTGTAGATAAGATGGGTGAGTGAGATAATAGTCAATATATACATATATTTGTGTGTATATGAGTGTGTGTGTATACACATATGAAGTTGTCAAAAAACCTTGAAAAAGATAAAACTTAATTTGCACATCTAAATTAATTATTCAGACCCCTTAAAAGGCTCAGAAATCACTAAGAAAGGGGGCAAAAAGAATGTAAGCCCCAAAGGTGGTAGCTGACAACAAGAAAATATTGTAACTATGCACATCAGAACAGTAGTATGTATAACACACAGTGATTGTGATGGCATGCTAAAGTACACTCCAGCTAAGGAGCTACTGCCAATTGTTAATGACTGAAAAGCAGTGTATCATTTCTTTTTTCTAAAGGTTAAGTGCCACACAAGTTGACAATACTAAAGATGGAGGCAGAATATTCAAGAGTATTTGAACTGAAAACATTGCCAGTGGATTTTCATAGGTGAAACAATAACAAAAAGGGACACAAAACTGCATGGCAAGGAAGAGATTTTAACCTTAGGAGAGTAGAAGTTGGAGATTAAAAATTAACAAAGCATGCTGTATGCAGTTTTCAAGAAATAGTAAAAATATTCTAAAACAAAAAGGGATAAAAATGTGGTGACAAACACACAGTAGTTAAATAATCTGCCAAAGGGCTTTATACAAAAAAATAAGATATTTACTTTATTCTGTTGATAATTTTTAAGTAAGTCAAATAAATACACTAGTTAAAAAATAAAACTTACAAAATAAAATACCAACAAAGTCAGTATTGAAGAGTAAATATTTATATGAACAAATGCTCATTAATATTAAACATCAATAAAATGAAAATGCAACAGCTTTATGCAATTATAATGATTTTTAGAAGTTTGTGATGAAGCTAAAGTGAGAATGAGAAGTAGGTAGAAACATCACACAAGACTTGTTAGTAGTGTAAAATGACATGGGAGTCCCCTCTGTGTGTTGCTTGTATTGGTTAATGAATAAAGAAACTCCCTTGGCCTGACAGGGCAGAACTTAAGTAGGCGGAGAAGACAGAACTGAATTCTGGGAGGAAGAAAACAGAGTCAGAGGGATGCATGCCATGGATCCATGGTCAGAGGAAGATATGCTGAAACTTTTCTGGTAAGTCTCGATAGAAATGGGTTAAATAAAGATGTAGGAGCTAGGCAATAAGATGCTAGAGCTAATGGGTCAAGCCGTGTTTTAATTAATACAGTTTCTGTGTAGTTATTTCTGGTCTAAGGTAGTCAGGTGGCCAGGACAAATGGCCTTCTTCGTAAAACCTTGAAACTTCACAAAAACTAGCTTGATGGCATATTGTAAGTGTGAACACACATCTATGCAGTCCAGTTTTGGGATTTTTCAGCTTTTATCCAGTATAAATGGAAAGATTTGTCACCATAAAGAATTGTGAAAAAATGTTTTTGTGACTTTAGTTATTCATCATTAAAGCTTAAGTAAAGAACTGTCTAAATATTCTATTGTGCTGTCTTGTACAGAATATTATTCTACTCAGGATTCATAAATAAACAAGTTGTACATGCAGGCAATAGCATAGATTTCAAAGCTTGTTATTGTTGGCCATAATGATGGATCTTGCAAACACTGATAATGTTTTTGAGTGTAGCAGTTTAAATGTGTTTCTTAACTATATGAAAATTTTAGAGGTGAATAAATTTGTTTATTGATATGATTTTTCATATTGTTTCTCATTTTTCCTAAGCTGAAATATCAATACATTTTACAACTACAAAAAAAGATAGAAGTGTTACATTTTTGTAGTGATGGTGCATGGAATTGATTTTAAGCAAAAATTTGTGTTTTCATACCTTTTATTAGTAAATTATGGTTGTTTTTGTCAGATTTCACATTCTAGAAGTCATTTAATTCAATTAATCAATAAATAAGCCTATATAATTATACTGATTTTCCATGTAATATTTTTTCATTTTATTTGTTATGTAAAATTATTTTTCTGTATGATTTTTAGATATGGTTGTCTGCTCTTTATCCCTTATTGTTGCTTGAGACAAAGGCTCATTTTGTAGCCCAGGCTGGCTAAGAACTGACAAACCTCTTGGCTATTTGTCCTGTTTGCTCAGGATTTAGAACTTTGCCACAACTGGTGCTACTTAAATTTTTAAGTAAATTTAAGCAAGTCCTTCAAATTTATTTACTTTGGCATTTTCATTTTCTATAAATGACCCATGAGACTCCATTTAAATATGCTTCTCAATATTTATATATCATATTTATTATAGCATTCCCTTGAAAACATTTCAGCAGTTCTTCATCTTTACAAATTTTGTGCTTTTACTAAGGTTTCCTTTCATGAAATGTGACATTATAGCTTTCCACAGGAGGATGGTTGACTTACAACAGACATCATTCTTAAAGAAAACTAGTCTCCCTGTTTCAGTATACATCAATGTCTAGTAGTTTCTTACATAGTGGAGGAGCATGATACCCACATCCCATCTCTATACAGAGAGTAGGTCTGGACTGAGCTTTCCCAGGACTAATGAATGTTGTCACAGTCACTGTGATTTCATAAGTACAGGTTACCTGCGTGTCTGGAGGACATTGTCCCCTTTTATTCATTTAAATTCTTGTGTTAATGCTAACCTCTTTTAGAGTTGTTGGCTGGTAAGATTCCACCAACCCCTGCAAAAATCACAAGCTCTTCCCAGTGCTATTGGTTAGACTCAGTAGCTCAATGGAAATACCTTGTTGTTGCTGAAGGCACCCTATAATTAGGACAGAGTTTGAAGATATCAAAATGGTACTGGCCTTAAAGTTTTATTCGTAATGGCTAGCTTCTTGGTACCAGAAACTATTATGGACACTTCTGGACAAGAAAAACACTAAAAAATCCTCACCAGTTGTGAGCTGTGTGAGATATAATAATATCTGGATCGTGAGATACTCTCATTGGTAGAATGGGGGCATCATTTTCTGTTATACAATATGAAACTCATGAATGACACTATTGTCAGATAAATGACATGACACTTTTTAAACTATTAGAAATTTTATCAAAACATGTTAAAGAATATATTGCCCCTAAGACACAACCTATTTTGTAGAATTTCATGTCTATATTTTAGGTATTTATTTTTAAATTTTATTCTTCAGACATTGCAGATATATAATGATGTTTTGGATGCTACTCTAGTACCTATTGATCATAGTACACTAATTTCTGCATTAAAAGTTCTGTTTATCTTTTTCCTACTTTAACCTTTGAGACTTGAGCCATAGTGTGTGTGTGTGTGTGTGTGTGTGTTTGTGTGTGTGCAATGAAGTTGTATGTGTGTGCATGTGTTTTCACAAGCATTTGTAGATCAAAGACAGACTCTGGTGTTGTTCATTAGGCTATCCATTTTTTTTTCAGGCAAGGTCTCTCACTGATCTTGAATTAGATGAGTAGGCTAGTGTGGTTGGAAAATAAGATTTATCAATCTACCTGTATCTACCTCCTAGTGCTTGCAACTGCTAAGAACCATTCCTACTTTCTAAAATAGATTTTTGGGAAATCTATTTTGGGGTTGTGGTGGTCACAAAGCAAGTATTCTAGCAAATGAATTATTTTTTGATCTTATATTTAAGTTACTCATTTAAACCCTGAATTTATGATTGGAGGATTATGCAATTTAATGTAAGATTTCTTGTTGATCTAAAAATCATTTCCTAAAAGACAAAAGAACAAAGCAGTGAACACATTTTTTACAGACTGACATAGATAGCTTCAGCTGTCAACTTGACATATATATATATAGAGAGAGAGAGAGTCACCTTTTGAAGAGGAAATTTCAACTCAATAGGCATATTGCCACATGTATGAAACTTGTTCCTAACATCTATTTGGATAAAACCAAGGCAAACACTTTTATAGTGAAATTTAATTTTTTCTTTCAAATAGTAAAAGACCTAATTGAGTAAAGAAAAAAAAAAAATTCATTAGTTAGAGGTCTTCTTGGTTGTACCCTTCTTTCATTCACAACTGATAATTGATTTTATGAATGACATTCATCATTACTCAGAAACAATTTTCCAACTTTACCTTTTCCCATGCTAATAAATGATGCAAATAAATGCTACAATGAAAGAATATCAAACTTAGAGTTGCTACCTCTAAGTTTGATATCAACATAGATAGATATCTGATAGAGATATCAGCATATCTCTCCATGAAGAACAAATGATTATAGAATTGTAGGTGTTAGGATCCAGGGGACTTAGTTTCAGATCAGTATAAGAATATTTGTCCAATGGTTCTCCATGAGGCAAACCCATTGGAGACAGTCTCACTCCAGAAGGAACCCTGGACTTCAGCAGAGCACATAATACGGCTGGAACCAAGAGGCTTCTTTTCTTTCTCATAATGATGATACACTTGGCTTGGCAGTTTTTAGTATAACTTTGACAGTCATACATGGAACAGATGTGATAATTCCTGGAAAACCCATTTTTTTCTCAAACATATCCCCCTAAAAATATTCAGGAATTGAGGCTTCTTAGGAAACACCAACTGTTACTCCAGATTGGGAACTGTTCTGATTCAGTGCTGACAGGATAGGGCAATAAAGTTAATGGGCACTTGAGGAAGTGCAAGCTAACTGTGTGCAAACAACTTACGGTACATCACCCATATTTCTGTCAATATGCTTTGGTAAGTTCTGAGTGATAATGTTGTTTGTGAAAATGTATGCCTATGTTTATCACTTTTTAGCTTTATAAGGTCTGGATGTACCTGGCTTGATATTTAGCAAAGCTGACAAAATGGTAAACTTTGTTTTCACTTTAATATGTTTTGATGTAAAGGGAAACATTTGACATACTTGTTCTTGCCTAGGTTAAAGTTGGAGGGTGGGAAACGTGTTTGTTAGTATGAAAAAAATACTTGTTTTTAAAGCATCAACAAAGACATCTTGAAATATTTCAGGGTGGCTACTTGTGAGAATCACATCTGGTGGTCATACACTACTTCATTTCATTGCACCAATACCTTTTCCCTGCCTCAGGATCTGTAGCAGGGCTGTATTAAAACTGAGGAATATAGTGAAATGAGCAGACAAACAATAGTGTAAAAAATGTGGCACAGAAACCATAAGTGCATTGTCACCTGATCCTATGTATCACTGACACTCTAGTTTAAGATAGTGTAAATACCTTGTGGGTAGAAATATGACAGAACCTGTCTTTTGCTTACATACAAACTAATACAGTACTATATACTTGAAGAATTACATATTGTTTATTCCAATTACTTAAGTTAAACAACTTAGAAAATTACATTTGAATTATATGGCAATTGATGAATACAGCCAAAACAATAAGACAAACAAAAGATATTGGTTAAACTCATTTATTCCCAACTTAAGTGAGGCTTGCCTAAACAGAGTGGGTTCATATATGTAAACATGAAAAAAACAAGCAAGAACTTTGAAATTTTTCAAGAGATGACATAATTGCTATCTGGGAAGGAGCTCTGGTTATGCCAGAGAATATCAGCTCTCTATAGATATGAAGGTGAGAATTTATTTCTGCCTTGGGTACATTTCTTCTAAATAATCATGTGTTAGCAATAACCCCATGTCTAGTGTTATTAACTGCTGCTTGTAGAATTCTCTTTCCAAACTGAAAACTTAGCATTCTATTGCTCAAGCAAATTAGTCTTTGTTTAGAGGAAACATCTTTTTTAGTAACTTTTTAAAGGCAACTTTGACATCTTTATTTCTCAANAAGAAACATCCAATGTTAGATCCCTTTTAATGAAGACTATGATTTCTGTGTGCATATATTTCATATATCATTAACCTTTCATTTTGGATACAGCATTAGCTCTGGGTAGCCTTTGTAATGACTGTTAAAATATGCCTGAGAAAATTTGTTTTCTTGTTGGATAAACACAAGAGGTACGTGAGGGTAAATCCTCATTTGTAAAAAACCTGATGGGATCGTGTATTAAGGTCCATGTTGGAAAAGTCTAGTTTGTGATATATAGTGGGTTTTCCTTGATTGGAAAGTATGAGAGTGTAATACTCAGCTGTTCACAATCACCTATTGTCTTTATAGGAAGATAGTACCTGACAGAATATCCTGTTTAATTAAACCCTCCTAGAGTTAACTCTTATTTTATAAATAGTGTTAAAGTTGCAGTCCTCTGTGTATAGTGTATATACATTCAAAAGTTTTCTTATAATATTAATCTTTATAAATTTATTTGGTTTTTAATTGTTTTCTCTTATTTCCTACTACTATTTTGTTTATCATTAGTCATTTTGTTTATCATTAATCTGTCCTTGGGTGTTTTGGGGTAAATGAGTAATTGGATAAAGCAATAACAAATTGATGTTAAAACGTTTCCTTTCCTACCTCATTCTTCTCCTTCACAATTGTTCATGATTTTTAGGATGGGGCTTATCATTTGTCAGAAAAATTTTCCAATTTTATTCTTTTCCCATATGAACAATAATAAAAATTGATGCTAGAGTAAAAGAATATATCTTACGTTTTTGAAACTCAGAAATGTAAGCAAACAAAGCACCATGACTCTACATGAAGAAGAAATATGAATATGGGATTGTAAGGAAATGATGAGTCAAACAACAGTGCAAAGAATGTTGACTTGATAACCATAAAAATGGATAGTAATCGGGTTCTGTTTTTTATTGCCACTCTGGTTTAAGAAAGTGGAAACACCGTATAAGTAGGACTACGGTAGCCCTTTGCTTACATATACACTAAGATAGTTCTCTCTATATATTTAAATCTCAGAGTTAAACGTCAGTTATTGTAATCATTTAACATACAATCCAAAAAAATACTTTTTGAATCATTGCCCAAGAGGTCAAACATCCATCTACAAAACATTTAAATAAACAAAGGCTATTGATGAATTTACTTATTGTCAATTTAATGTACGTGAGATTTGTCTGAGCAGAGCCGAGCTAACATATGCAAATATAACCAATGACACAAAGGGCTTTGACAAATTTTAGGGAGGTTTATAGGATGCTAACTGTAAATAAACTCTGGTTATAACAGAGAGTCACAGTTTTCTATGTGCCCATGATATTGAGACTCAATTTCTACCTTTGGTACATTACTTTCAAATCATTATGTACTAACAGTAATCTCAAATTCAGTGTTATTAATTAAGGCTTGTAGAATATTTCCTTCCCTAAATTACAGGATGTATACTCTATTGCTAATGAAAACTATTTTTTGTTGTGAGGAAACTTATCTTCTGTTTTAACTTTTTAAGGGCAACTTTGACATCTTTATTTCTCAGGCTGTAGATCATGGGATTCAACATAGGCACAACAATGGAATAAAACACAGAAGAAAATTTGCCTTGGCCCAGGGAGCTGACTGACGATGGCTGTAAGTACATGAATGCTAATGACACAAAGAAGACAGAAACAGCCAAGATGTGGGAGCTGCATGTGCTGAAGGCTTTGGACCTGCCCCCTGCAGACTGAATATGAAGAATGTTGACAATGATGAAGACATAAGAGCTAAGGATGATCATAACTGGTGCAATAATATTAAATGCACTGAAGGACAAAGCTAGTACTTCATTGATAAAAGTACTAGAGCAAGCGAGCTCCAGTAATGGAACGAAATCACAGAAGTAATGGTTTATTATATTAGCTTTACAGAAGAGCAGTCTTATCAGGAAGATAGTGTGAACTGTGGCACTCAGTAAGCCCATACCATATACCCAGGCTACCATCCACAAACAGACTTGATAGGACATGGTTACATTGTAAAGCAAAGGGTTAGAGATAGCCACATAGCGATCATATGCCATTACAGCTAGCATGTGACATTCTGCAACAGCAAAAATACAGAAGAAGTAGAACTGAGCCATGCATTCTGGGTAAGAGATGATATTCATCTCTGTCACAAAGTTCACCAGCATTTTGGGAGTAATGACAGTGGACTGACAGCAGTCAATAAGGGACAGACTGCTGAGTAAATAATACATGGGTGTGTGCAGCTGAGAACTGAACAGAATCAAGATGATCATGCCCATGTTTCCCACAACTGTAACCAGATAGACTCCTAGGAAGATGAAGAACAGAAGCACCTGGAGGTTTGGGTTCTCTGTTAATCCAGAAAGGATGAATTCAGCCACAGCAGTATTATTTACTTCTTCCATTCTCTTTTGGAAACTCTATGTGAGAAGAAAACTTTACATAATGGAAAAATTTGAGTATACATCCTCTTATAACTCAGTGAATTTTGAAACAGGTTTCAAATATTTTCAGGCATCTCAAATTGTCTTCCATATTCTTTTCTTTCTAAACAATTAAAGAAATTTCAATCCTGTAGGAACAAGACAGGTGAAGAAATAATCATACAAATATTTGCATTCTTGTGAGTATTATCATGAAAATTAATTCTACTTGTACTCCTTTCCTACCATATGCAAACCATTCTAGTCCACTGAATTGAAAGTTTCAAGAATTTCTCATGTGTAATTTATTGCATCTCTCTTTTGGTTAAAAAATTTTACTTGTGGTAATATAAACACAGTGTCCACAAATATACATAGATATAAATATAGTTATTGGTGAAGAAATTAGAAACTTTATATTAAAAATATAACAATGGACTTGTCTACTAATTTCTGATTCTCTACCACAATTCTAGATAATTGACTAGGAAAATAAGAACAAAAAATTAAACTAGGAAGCCAGTAGACTAAAAATCAAGATAATAAGACATCTACTACTCTGTTAATATATTTGAGTATGTAGAAAATCAGGAATTGGTCAAAGAGTGCAATTAAATGTAATTACCAGTATATTAGGGTAATGTTAGAATGCAGAAATATCAGGATAATTGAAGATGTTGTTGTAAACTCACCAATGATCTCAGGTGAGATATCTTAAAATTGTTTGATACTGGTTTTTCTTAGACATAGCAGTTTTGATTGCTTATCTTCCACAAATAACAACAGTCACCATTCTTGGTCAAAGTTAAATCAGGAAAAATGCTTCATAATTGTTGATATGATTAAGTCATGTTCACTGTAACAGCCATTTATATGGTGTCTTGAGGTTTCTTATTTGCCTAACTACTTTTATTGAAAGAAGACCTTACTGATATTTTAAGACTTTCCTCTACTATAGTACTCCTCTACAAAAAACACTGAGAGCCACATAATGTAACTGGATGTGTTCCCAATTGGGAGTGTTGGAAATTTAACACCGAATCCTGCCTTTTGAAAAAGACAAACCATTATAGCCAGAATAGGTTATGTTGCAAACTGAATATGATTGTCACGAGAACTAGTTACCAAAGTAGTGGGATCCTAATGGGGGCTGACACTGGTCCTTTCTTTCTATCTTTCATTTGAACTACTCTGATCCTTCAGGCCTTATTCTATCACCATTGGGCAAAATGAAATTCCCTTGATATGGGCTTTTGGTCCTTAGCTTTTCAACCTTCAGAAACTTATGACAAGATAAATGCAGTTCTAATACATTACATTCCTCTGGTAGTCTATTACAGCACAAAGAACACACCAAGACACACTACCATCTGTTTCTTTGGGTCTGTTCATTGGCTTCTTGTACTGTGTATTATCCTTTGCAAACATGCTCCAGAAAATATTAGTCTCAAGCACAGAAGACCCATCATCTGTTTCTAAATTATGGCAGATCTAACTATTCTTGTGAAATTTGACTTCATCTAATTGCCTTCTATTCAATGCTGCTTGTGACCATGAAGCATGATTAATAAAAAATAAAAATAAAAAAGAAACTTAAAGGCAGATATTGGGATACAACCTAAAAACCAGAAAAGCAAAGCAACCAGACACTGGCTTTTACCCAGATCTCCACCTGAAAGTTATGATTCTGCTGCCAGGAAACCTCAGAATGAGACTGAGAGTGGTGGCTGTCTCCTTCCTCCTCTCTAGTTCTGGGATTAAGAGCATGCAACACTACCACATGGTTTCTATTGCAACCTAGTATAGTTACAGGAATTAAAGGTGTGCGTCATTGCTGCTTGCTCTTTAAGGCTGGCCAGTGTGTTATTTTACTTTTCTGATATTCAGGCAAACTTTATTTTTTAAAATGCAAATGACATGCTACTACGTTACCTTAATGCTTGTATACTTTTGTGCTTGTTGCAGCATTCCTCAATACCTGCATTGTATCAATACAGGTATTGTATTTTCTTGAGCTCCCATTCTGAAATTCATCTTAAATATGAATGAACCAGATGCAAAATACTAAATTATTTAATTACAAAAATTGTTTTTATTATCAGTAAACTGAGATGCAAACAAACACACACACATACACATGTATACGGTACATAATTTCATAGATTTATACTTTGTATATTTTCATCTTAATTTTGTTTTAAAACATTATATCAATAATATGGATGATATTAAATAAAAAATTGCCATGAAATTTACAAGAAATAGTAATGAGTATTTATGTGCTGGTATTCAATAATGTGGAACAATATTAAAATAAATGTACAAGTGCTAAATATTATTTATGTGGTCATCGGGATAGAAAAATAAAGAATATAGAAGATCTACTCTTCAGGATTCTATATAATAGGAAAAAAAAGATAGATTAACAAGACACAGGAATAAATATGTTATTTAGAAAGATCCTGAATGACCATAGCACAATTGTGAATATCCTTACTCAGGTAATGGTATCAACAAAAATATTTTTTGAGAATATTAAGAAATAAAACCTTCTCTCTTTTTGTACCATATCATGTTACATGACTTTTACAGAAAAGTACATTGAGTAGAGTTCCCACAGTTTATGTTGCAATTTTCCTTTTAGCTTTACTCTTATATCCTTATCCCATTTAACATATTATTGTTGGTGTTAAGGTAAGATTTGTGTTTTATTCAATATTTTTTATAAAATATATTACAAAAATAATTAAAATAAAGCAACATTCACAACTTTAAGTTCTTTCCAAATAAAAATAAACAAAAACACAATACAATGGCAAACTTCCCTAAATCAAGAAAATAAAATGATGCCATGTCCCTTCAAACTAAACCACCAAATCATAACCAAATAAAATCACACATACAAAACTGAAACAAACAAAAAAAGCCTCGTGAAATCTGTTGTACTTTGTCCAACTACTCTTTTATTTTTTTCGTTTTTTTTGTCCAACTACTCTTGAACATAAAGGTTGTCCCTGAGTGATTTATATAACCAGCGTCAATCTATTCAAGAAAATTACATCCTGATCTGCAGACCGGATATAGACAGATTGAGACTAGGTTTGGAATGAACTTTTGAAACTTCAAAACGCATCCCCAGTGACATGGGTCCTCTAACAAAATAACTTCTCTTATAAACATCTCACAACTTATAAACTTTTTAAAATAGTTTTCCAAGCTCTAAGCAAATGTTTAAATATATAAGCATATTGGGACAATTTTAACTCAACTCAGGATAGTTATCCATTCCCAACTGCTTAGTCCTAAAAACATACACATATGAGCTCCACTCAATGTACTCCTTGTGTTTATGTATGTATGTGTGTGTGTGTGTGTACATGCTTATGTGTGACATATACAAAGCAAGTGTGTATATATGTAGCAATAAGTATTGAAGAAGTCGGGAATGTGAGAGTTGATGGGAGAGAACATGAGGAGTTGCTAAGGAGAGATGGAAAGTTTCAGACAATCTAAGTATAGAGTTTTTATATATGAAATTTCAGAAACCATTTTAAATTGAAACAGATATTAATAAAACAGCATTATCAGTTCCATTTTAAAAAGAAAGTGAGGATCTTGAAATGAAAATGGATATTGAGAGGCAATAAGTAACACATGTCTAATCACAATAGAATATAGAACAAATTTTACAGGCTAAGGACTTGAATTTAGACATACCATTCCTTCTACCCAGACAGCTAGATGTTGGGTGCTTTTCTGTTCCTTTACATTAGAAGGAGAAATAGCTTTGAACACGTGAGAGATAGATTGCACAGACTTACCTCCTGAACCAATGTTCCTTAAAGCAGAATAACAAAGTCACTTGTTCTTCAAGGGTTGGCTTCTATAAACATTTTATATGTAGGCATAGACAACATGAGATTAGTTAGAAAAAGAGTAGTGAGAATCATCTCCCTCTGGAGTCTCATCCTTCAAGTATTGTCTCTGGAGAAATCAACATTCAGAATTAATATATATATATTTCCCAGCGGTTCTCACTTGTGTAATATAGTCAGTCCTATGGTAGTTCTGTTTAAAGTATAGACTTAGTAAAAGTATGTAAAATGCACTAAAGTATTCTCGAACTATAATTATAAATGATGGGATTAAAAAAATAGTTCCCTCAAATGAAAAAAAAAAAAAAGAAAAGGAACTAAAAGGAACTGAACTTTGGAATTCCCACTGACATCTACCAAATGTGCTTAGATTGTATGAGGGACTTGCAAAACCGTTTACTTGGAAAATTTACCCAATAATTTAATAAAAGCAGCTTAATGTTTACCTAAGTTAAAATAATTTAAATATTTAAAATGATGTACAAAAAGTCACAACAAGACTAATAAATGAAAATTAGGAGGAGACATCCCAGGAGGAATAAGATGAGTTCACTCCTTCATGTTTTCAAGAACAACAAGAATTTAGTTATGAAAGAAGAATAAAAAAATCCAGTATACTCTATCTAGATTAAAAAAGACTGTAAAATATAAAAATGTCCATGTGTAAAGAATTTCCACTAAAGATAACAAAGAGAAAAATTGTCTTTCAAATCACTTAATTCAATTGTCTAGAATTTTTGGTTGAGTAATTAGAAAGGTAAATATCAAATATGCACAGTGCATTCAGACCTATTTGCTCTTTTTCTTACTCTTCAAAATACTCTTAATTATTTGTCATAAGGACTATCTTATTGCTCACCCGATATTACCTACAAAAGTTCTATATATTTAGAAAGAATACGGTGTAAATTTCTAATTCTAAATTCTTATTTCAGTAAATTCAGACTAATAATGTGAGATTTGTTTGTTAATACAATTAATACAGAAGAGCAGACATATAAAATATTAAAACAAATAATTAAAAATAAATAAATATATTTAACCATAGGTTAGCATAAATAAGCAATGTCTAAAAGTATAAGAACAATAATATAAATAACAACGCCCATAAATAGAAACTGGAGTTCTGGAGCCCCCTTCTTTTTTCAAAAATTTTAGTCCTGAGAGTGGACAGAAACCATCACATAGTGGCTGATATAATATTTACCTAGGCTTTCAGAGTTTTTATTGATTCAACTCAGTCACTCACAATGTTTGCATAATGTTCCAATAACATCTCATGTCTTCTTTATAATTTTCTGTTCCATTAAATCAAAAATGCTTTTTAATAAAATATGAACAGTATTCACAAGGAAAGAATTTCTACTTAAGAAAATGAACAAACAATTTTCTATCTCATGACTTTAATTCTGTTAGCCTAGAATTTTAGGTTGGGCAATCAGAAAGTTAAGTGAAATTTATCAGTACCATATTAGAAAATATAAGCAAAACCCATCTTTACTTATGAATAAATATATAAACACAACTGAGACTATAGAAAACCAAAATCTGATCGAAAATATATGTTAGAAATGAATAATAATAAGGTAAATTATAGAATACAAGATTATCTAAGTGACTTGTCTGAATTATCACAAACTTGACTTAAACAATGAAAACTTTCCTATTCCTTGAGTCTGGGTTATAACTTAGAAACAGGCCTGGTAATCAGTCTAGCATTACTTATTTTATTTAGGATTGCTTTGACTCGTTTGGAATTATTGTACTTTGCTATCAATTTTGGAAGGTTTTTATATTTATGTGACAAATGCCATGGGGATTTATATGGCATTGGATATGTAAATCACTTTGGTAGGATGCTCAGTCACAAAAGTAACTATAGCAGTTCATGACCATTGAAGGTCTTCCAACATATAATGCTTTTCCTTAATTTATTTCCACATGGATTTAAATACTTTCATCGGTGGTAGCGACTGCTAGATATTTTTTCTTTTCTGTCTCCTTTTCCTTTGTTTATTTTTGTTATTGAGCTTGCAGTGAACTGGGTTCTTTCTTTAATTTCTTTTTTGGTGCTTTTGTTATTTGTATAAAAAATTTTTTATTTTTTTTTATTTAGTTTCGTATCTTACCACTTTGGTTACATAGTTTCTCAATTAGAGCATTTTTCTGGTGGTGTCTTTTGGATATTTTATATATAATATGATGTCATATGCAAACAAAAGTAATTTTTAATTTTTTTATTTCTTTTATCTCCTTCTTGTCTTTAATTGTTTAAGTTCTGAAAGAATACATTGAAAATACTAAGACAGTAGATTGTTTTATATTCCTTCTAAATTTTCTTCCTGTTTTTTTTTATTTTTAAAGTATATAAAAGCAGTTTCATACACCTATTAAGTTAGAAAAAGTCATAGAATATGCCTTTAGTATTCACATCCATTATTGAAACTTTAAATACTTCATTAGGTTTTTGAGAATATCATTCAAAGTATTTAATAGACATCCTCTATCTACTCATCCCAGGTCCACCTGCTACACTTTCCACATAACACTGTGTCTTCTTTTTATTCCTCCTATAAACTCCAATTTTTCTACTCCACACATTCTTGGATTGCAGCATTCCACTGGAGTATGGTTGACTTGTCAGAGGCTACACACTTAACGAAAGATGGTCCTCTATCTCAGCGAAGCTATGATATACAAATAGTCATTAGGTGTATGAAAGTACAGTTTCATGGTCACTTCTTATCTCCATCTTAAGATTTGATCATGCTTGGTTTGTACAGGTCTTGTACATACTGTCACATCTTAGCCAGCTGTGAAACATGTAAAATAAAATAGCAACAATTATAACTGGACTGAATTGATGAGCCCACTAGTGCAATAGTGGCTTGAAAATGTGTGTGGGTAAGCAAGCATTATTTTATTTTATTTTAGATATAATGCCCAAGATGTAACCCATATCTGACAATATAATCAAATCAAGTGGCTCTCTCTAGATGGCAATAGAAATATATAGATAGCTACTTCATTTAAGTATTAAAACATTTGATAATGTGCTTCCTTATATAACAGTATTTGACAGCTCCTATATTTTAGTTCCTGACTTCTTATTGCCACATATTCTACATGGTCATTAGTCATTTTGGTGTTAGGATCACCTATTTTAGAACCAATCTGATATTTAGATTAGCATTATTTTAGAACCAAGCTGATCTTTAGATCAGCACAATCTTGGCATCTTTTTCTGGTTATCATAATCGCTGAAAAGAGTTGGACTTGTTTATCCTTACAAATACTTTGCAATATTTTTATGTGTGCATAATCACTACAAAAGAGAAAATTTCATGAGTGTAGTTTCTATTTATTACCCCTCAATATAATAAAAGTTTTGCTGGATATTCTTGACTTAGAAGATTAAAACTATATCCATTTAAGCTTGTACATATCTTGAGTACGTGTATGTGTGTAGTAGACATTAATAGGTTCACAAAAAAAGCATATAGTACTTATAGTGTTCCAGGTTGAATATGTTCTTTACAAAATCACATACACTGATATTTGTTCTTACATGCTGTGTGCCTTCTGGTTGATGGTGGAAATATGAAGTGGCACCCAGAAAAATAATGTAGTTACTATTATCATTCTTCTTTCCTTCTAATACCACCTGTTGTGATCTGTATAGAAACAAGACATCCAGCATAATATGCTAAAGTCTCTGACACTGTAATAAAAAAATAAAGAATTCCTAACAGATCTATCATTATGGATATTTTAGTCAGGTTGAATAAATTCTAACACAGAAAATAAATACTGAGCCAGGTGGTGGTGGCGCACGCCTTTAATCCCAGCACTCAGGAGGCAGAGGCAGGCGGATCTCTGTGTGATCGAGGCCAGCCTGGTCTACAAGAGCTAATTCCAGGACAGGAACCAAAAAAGCTATGGAGAAACCCTGTCTCGAAAATAGAAGAAGAAGAAGAAGAAGAAGAAGGAGGAGGAGGAGGAGGAGGAGGAGGAGGAGGAGGAGGAGGAGGAGGAGGAGGAGGAGGAGGAGGAGGAGGAGAAGGAAGGAAGNAGAAAGAAAGAAAGAAAGAAAGAAAGAAAGAAAGAAAGAAAGAAAGAAAGAAAGAAAGAAAGAAAGAAAGAAAGAAAGAAAGAAAGAAAGAGAAAAAAGAAAATAAATAAATACTGGGTGCAGGGGGTGCAGGTTTATTGCTGTGATTGCTGTGGCTACAGGAGCAGGTGATTCTCAGACCTCTCAAACTGGGTTGTGGGAAGACTTGGTAGAGGTTGAAGGCTTGACCTTCTGAAGAAATGAATACTATATGCAAAACTCAGTGGGCAATTATTATATTTGCTCATCACATCAGAATAGGCATGGAAGCAAAAAGAGTAACCAATGAGCTAAAGCTTCAGATGAAAATGAGAAATTCATTAAGAACTGGATAACAAGTCACTCCTTTTACAAACACTTGATTTTAATTTGTAAATGTCTTTATATTTTTGAGTAAAGTATAAGGGTGATGGGATGTTGCCAGTAAGTATGAAAGATTACAAGCTGCCTTTGCATGATGCAGTGAAGTCAAGTCATGGCAAGAAGAAATAGCCAATATTCCAAAAAATAGACCAAAGGCAATAAGCACTGGGAGTTTGCAAAGGGGCTCATAGGATGGTGAAATAGTGTGTAAAAACAGAAACATGTCAGGGATAGAAAAAGAATAACAATTTGAGACTGCATCCTCTCTACTTGGCCAGACCTTGTAGACCTGACAACGCAAGGACTGAAGGTTTTTACTGCTGCTACTGTTCTGAACAGCAACTGACACTGTGGTACAGGATATTGCTTAAGCTCTAAGGTAACATATTAAAGAAACAAAAAAACAACACAGTGTTGAAATTTCAACTTACCCAAGTCAGAATAAAATAAAGAATGTAAAAGACAATGATTTTCAAGAGTATATGAGGGTATCCCTTATTCAGTGTTCATGGAATTGCAAACTGGTACAGCTACTTTGTAAGCCAGTATGGTGAATTCTAATCATTGTGAATAACTGCTGACACTCTGGGTCAGCGTGTTCACAAGAAATAGTAAGGAAGTAAACAAGTAAGTAATTTGCTATTTGGCACTGCAACACCATTCTTTACCCAGAGTATTTCACATTCTACATCACAGTTTACTGTTCAGACATGTTCATTGCATCATTATTGACAATAGCTAGGAAATGGAAAAAACCTAAATGACTTCAACTGATAAATAGATAAGAAAGCATATCACAAATACACAGTAGAATTATATTGCTCTGTAAAGAATTAAGATCTGGAAATTTGCATGTAAATAGAAAATATTGAGTGAAGTAAGAGCCAGAAAGACAAACACTGAATATACTCTCTTATTCAAATCTTTGGGTTTGAGTATATAATCTACAGTTATTGTTTAAGCCATGAAAACAAAAAATGATTATACAGGTGGGCATCTACTCTAGAGAGGGGAAGTGATATGAAGACGGAAATGGAATAATTTGAGCTCACTTTAAATTGGGACAGAATGAAAAACAATGTAGAAGGAAAGGAGGAAGAGGGACAAATACCAATAAAAATGTTTGAAAAAGACATAGAAAAGTATATTATTTATATTTACCTAAACACAAAAACACACATGAATACAGACCTCCCAAACCATTATATGCTATTGCCTTTTATTGTTTCTCAGAAATTGAAGGTAAGAATCTCTTGTTGAAGACAACACAGAATTCCAACATAGGACTTGAATCAGTTAAGATGGATTGGACTTAGAAGCCTACTTCTTGAAGACTAGCTATTATAATATGGAGTCATGATATCCAAGTTGTCAAGGGTGTAAAACTATTAATAGTTCTACTAAGCTGTGATATCTATGAAATACAGTAATAACCAGAAAGGCATATCCATAAAGATTCAGTAGTAGCATTTACATCATAACAGTAACCAATAACTATCAAATTGCTCTTGAGACCCACTCAAGAGGAGAAAATTTATGAATAGTTCTATAAATATTGTAAATTATGAGCTACTGATGAGGCCATGGAAGCTACAGTCTCTAACTGAATAATAGCAGTGACCATGTCACCCACAGATAAGTCTTACTCTTTTGACAGCCGATAGACACATTTGAATGCATCCATAACTGGTCTAAATATAGCGAATAACTGAAGATGTGGTGAAGAACTCCATTTCCTGCATATATGAAAGCACTCCACCACGTAAGTGTCAGGGGATATTTTGGAAGAGTAGATAAGAATATTCTAAAAGACAGGGTACAAGGAAACCTGGACGAGAGATTGTGTCTTCTATGTAGGACAGGAAAGTGGCTTTGTAAAGTGACAACAACATAGATTTTTAAACAAGGGCCAAAAATGATAGCTGTTCCCATACCAATGTGAAAAGGGAAATTTCAGGGAAGTACTCCTAAAAAGAACTAGAGGCAATTTCTGATTGTTAGGAATAAAATAAGTTTTTCTGCATAAAATAAGCTTTCCTATGTATAATCCTCTTACATATATGTGAGAGAATTGTCTGTATTCTGTCAATCATGTTTTAAACAAACACTGATTGGCCAGGCAGGAAGTATAGGTGGGAAAACCAGACAGGAAGTAGAAATGATGCAATGAGAACATGAGAATTCTGGGAAGGAGGAAATTGATTA